TAGGTAGGCTCTTCTTTTCCCAAACTATAACCTTAACGTAGAACCCTAAATTCAGATCACTACAATCCCGCTGCTCCTTTGCTCGCGTTATATTCAGAAACGTATTAGTGGAATATTGACATGTAGAGAGTTTACTTTGACCACGACCTGTGTGCAGAGGCCTGCAATAGAAATGCAGAACAAGCTACTTTAGAAGAGCCATGAAATATTGACTTCCGGCCGTAAACAAGTGTTAGTAGGCAGTCTTTTCATCACAAACTCTGCCTTTATGAAGAAGTGTCTAGGCGGAATACAGTCCGTTTCGCCTCTACCACAGACCTCTGTCAGCCATAAGCACTTGAAACACGTCGATCAGAGAGGACTGACGCCCAAAAATAAAATGGGCGAACGTGTAGAGTTATTGTAAAGCGGCCATATATAATAGAAGGAAAGTTGTAAAGTATGTAAGGACATGAAAAATAATGTATAGAAGGGCAAGTCAAGTGGAATTTGATTAAAATACAAAAAACCCGATGATACTCAAATGCAAGCATACATGCACGCAGTACGTGTATGTACTTAACACAATCAACACTCCCTGCAGTTTGAATAAGGGGTTGATTAGGGCGCACTCATCAAGAGTCGTGTTTGCAGCATAGGATTATCCATATTTTTAATTCTGGAGGGAATGGACAGGTTCTGCGCTGGCTTCTGAGTAGACGTGTCAAATACTATATAAGTAGCTGTGGAGGTGGAGATAGCGGTGAGGGGTGAGGGTGCCTGGCTACTAGCTGAAAGGTCTCTATGAGGTGGTGAGGCTGACGATGAGCCTCATGTTGATACCTGCTTCAAAGGAGATCGCTACCAAATGTTACGGTCGACTCTGTTGGTGCGACAAATTCACCGATTCGCACATTGGCTCTTCACCATTTATTAGTAGGTCAAAGCTCTCTCAAATGCCACTACACCTTTGAATGCATATACGTAGAATGGGTGCATTCCAATAAGGGTGTTGTCGACGCTGGATGCTTAACTCCTTATCCTTGAATCTCTAGTCAGAAAAAAGCCGAAATCGGATGAGTTTCGCATGGTAGGGTGCGTTTAGTGAACAGTGAGCTCTAGCTACATCATCCAATTCCATTGCCCTTTGTATGTAATTTCATGGCTTTATGCTTTTCGTGATCTTTACTCGGTGAACGACTTCGCTAAAAAGAGTGGGATTTCTAGCCTCACGCACCAATGACCGTATTCATTACCATATCTTTTCTGTATTCCAAGAATGCATCGCCAGACGGTCATACGTCTCTCAATTCCCTAGCATATAATGTTTTTTCTCGTTAAGGTGGATCGGTTACAAAAGTCACAGGGTGACTGTGAAAAATGTCAAAAGCGTATCATCCGCGATTTAATTAGGACGATGAAACTGGTCGAAGGTTGGGTTCGACAGCATCAGGATGAACGATACGAAGTTTTCTGCATAGCAATCTTGGAATACAGGCTTATGAATTTCACAATCGATAAGCTCCCTTGGATACGAGGAGGAAGATTATGGCTCCAAAGTATCGAGAGCTTAAGGCGTGGATTTCAAAGAGAGCCCGTACGCAAGTGCATCGACGGGGAAGCCCACGATTTCTCATGGACGACATGCCTTCATTCGAAAAAACTTACAAACCTACTAGAAATTAGCAGAGCAGGAACAACGCAAATCGAATGCAAGCTAGCTCA